GCCCGCCCCCCACGCGGGGCAGCCGGCCACGGGCCCGGCGCTTCTCGGGGTGGAGAATCAGGCCTGCCAAAGCAGCCCCGGTGGGAGAAACGCCCCGTGATTGGTAGGTGGAAAAAAAAAATCACTTGTGGGGGGGGAAAAAAAAAAAATCACTTCAAAGCGACTGCCCCCACGGGAAACGCCTGATCAGTGCCACGACCGCCCCGCTCACTCTGCTGACAGCCGCCAAACCGTCCCATCTACGCGGTGGTGAGTTACCCTCCGGCCAGCCCTAGGAAAGCCCAGCTCCAAGGCAGCGTCCTCTTCTTAGTCTCTCTTAGCAAGTTCGCCTGCGTAGGTTTGTGATGTCCATCACAAAACAGTACATTTAATGAGAGGGGGAAGGCAGGCTGAGGTTGCCGGCAGGACAGCATCACAGCTAGGAAAGCAGCAGGTATTCAGCACGCAGCATCTGTTCCTGCTATCACATCAAGCGCTAAACAACCTCCGAGAAGGACCATCAAGGGGGATCCTGCAAATGACAGCGTTGCGAGTGATTTAAGGCAACTTTTAACGCCGTGCTTTTGCCTGTATTAAAAGGTTAGTTATTAGCATTCTTGAACACCTCAAGCTTCTAACAGGCAAAAATCCACAAAACAGCCTAGGCTCACACCTCCCCTTTGTACAGCTCAGCTCCAAAGATTATCCCAGATCAGCAAAAAAAAATAACTTTTTACAAAAGAGGTGCTCAGGCTTAAAAAAAAAAAAAAAAAGCAAAATAATTTAACCAGTGAGGCTGTTAGAATAAAAAAAAACAAAAAACTGCTTTGAGCTAAGATTTTATGCTACTTAGTTTTTGTGTTGTAACCGTTTGATGGTTGACAATGAATTAGACCACTGCACATGCTGCACAAGATTTGAGACTGAGTATTAAAGGGAGTATTTTGCTTTCAAGGCTATGCCCAACAAATAAAAGCTCACATAAATGATTACACTGTTCTTCAAATATGGCACACTTGCTGGAGCTTTAAACTGATCAATCAGTCTTTTAACAGCTCTAGGACAAGAAAGCCACGGGCTTTATACTTTACTGTGTACGTTCTGCTTCAGCCTGATAGTAGGCTGGGGAAACAAAAAAGTGGAATGCAAGCCCTGAATTTTTTATCAGGACTCAGTGCTGATCACCAATAATTCCTGCCCGTTGTTTTCTCCAAGAGAAATCCATTCATTTTAGTTGATGTTTGCACGTTGCATGTTGGACAGAACAGCAACATCACTTCAAAATAAAGCTAAAACACACTCAGATTATTGAGCAGAGACATATTTCTCCAATCATCATGTATCCCTTCCGAGATACGTGTGGACACAATCATTTCAGTTCCCTACAATCTACTCTCTCTCTGATACTTGCAGAGCCTGATGTGGGAGATTAAGCTGCACTACGACCTCTTTGCTGGCAGACACAGGAGACTGAAGAGCAGCAGGATCCACTGTGTCAGTGCAATAGCATCTCAGTGCATCGACCCAGTGAGCCTCAAGAATCCTGCAACAAATAACCACAAGAACAATAACAGAACACAGATCACGACTAGTCAACGCAATGCTGCAGGTGACTTTTTATTTTTCAATTAGCAGGGTTAGTATGTTTTATCCTCTAATTTTTGCCACAGCTTGAGGTTTGTAGAGCAGAGTAAGAGTAAGAATGTGCTACACCACATTCTTTATAGGAGACTGTTAAAAGCATGCGTACTCCTAAAAAGTAATTTTGTGCAAGTGATTTGTCTTGTCCCATAGCAGAGAGCACTCGGAAGAGGAGCCCTCATAGAATACATTATTGTAAGATGCAAATCACTCCCACACTTTCATATGAGATACAGATATGTCAAAAATAAGTTGGACAATGCTGCATTGAAACAGATTATAGCAAATGTCCAAAGAGCCATTAGGTTATGCAAACAGAATACATTTTTTGCATTCAGTTGAAATTGTAAACCTATATTAAGTACAGCTCATCAAAAAGTGAAACCTTTCTAATAAACTAAAGAGCCTGGCATATGCCTTCAGCAACATATCCCTTTATCTGAAGAAGGGATTCAAATGTTAACAACTACTGCTAACTCGACAGCTCTGATCACTTAACTAGATGCGTCTACACAATTGTCCACTGGTAATAGCAAAGCAAAAATACTTTTGCCAGCACCGAAACAATAACTTATTGCAAGGAATAACCTTTTAAAAGCACCTCCTTTGCTTCCTCCAATGAAAAACCAGCGTTTTAATAATTTCATCCTATTTTGTGGCAACAACAACCTTACTGAACGTTGCAGACTCCCCAGTTAGGGATACTACTGCAGTGTTTTCTGAGGTCATTTTTTTAAAATTAAAAAGAAATATATTTGTTGTTTTGAAACAAGCGCTCATAAGGCAGACAATGCTACAGCTCTCTAGAGGCATGACATGTAAAAGAGAAACTATTGGGAAAAAAATAAGATTTAGTGCAACACAGATGAAGAGAGGGAACAATGAAGACTGACATCCCACTGTGTGAGATAGAGAAAAAAAAAAAAAATCACACGCAGATTAAGGCTCAGATTCTCCATACACAAACCAGAATCAACGTTTTATTATTGTGTTTTAAAATTCAATGGGGAGGGGAGAACAGTTACAAAAGGATAAATCCAGTGTGCATACAGGTCAGACCATCTGCAATCTGAAGGAGCAGGAGATCTCCTCTACACACTGTTTTAATACAAAAATCCTAGGGACATAGGTCTATGCTGTTTTATCATATGGAAGATCACAATATGAAAAAAAGAAGTGCAGCTCCACTTCCACCTTTATCTGTCTGGACGGGTCATTCCTGGCCTGGTTGGCACCATCATGGGCCTGGATGGTGGTCTCATCATTGGAGGCCCTGGCATCATTGGCATGTGTCCTCCCATCGGTGGCCTCATCCCTGGAGCTACAGGATGAAAGAGAGGACATTAGACAAAAGCTCTCAGGAACAGCAACTGCAGAGTCCCGTTAATACAGGGTGCAGGTTCTCTCCCCTATCCTCCAGGGGACTTTCATTTTGTAAGCGTACAGAAGGAGCCTTCCAATGTGGAAGCTGGCTGACAGGGACTACATTCCCCTCAAGGAAATTAGCAATTAGTAGAGGAAGAACCAAATTCCTGGGTTATATGCCCAGCTTTGACAGTATTCGCTGATGATTTACTTCAACCACTCAAGAGAGACACTAGCTCAATTGAATTGGAAAGCTTGTCTGAAGTGCTGCAAGATCTTCAAATTAAATGGGCCCAAAAAGAGTCTGGGGTACTTCTTACAGCTGGGTAACAGCATTACCAAAAAAAAGAAAAGCAGGTGCTTTATCAAAAACACCAAAATAATGGTTTCGATCCAACTTCTCCAATTATTCTCAGGCAACCATTATAGTGCCTCCTATCTCAAATTATACCCATATTTGGGGCCTTTAGAAAACACTTACAGAACGCTTTCTACTGGCAACACAATAATTGCAAAGACATTTCACTACCTTTAGCGTGTATAGATGTGTTTAGATTTGTTCCAGTAACTACTTCAGTAAGATGCCCTCTGAGAATTCTTCAAATGCCAACAAGCTCAAATGCAGAATGGATAATCAAGACATTTTAGTTTGTCGTTGCTGTTCTGAAAAACCTTTTTAAGGCATGTCACTTTTCTGGAATACATAATTTTCAGATTCTCTAAAAGATGAATCTTCATCTATTGCTGAAAACTATCCCTAGTGCAAAAATGTAAGCACTGCAAACATAATTCCTCAACAATTAGAGATTATAGTGCTAAGGCAGTAGGAAAAAAGGCAGAAAAGAAAGGTAGAAAAAACACAACTTACCAAACCCAGAATTTCAACTGAACAGCAAGACTTGTAAGTAGTCACTCGACAACCAGTAAAGGAACTTTAACTTGACTTTGTATGATTGTTTTATGTCTCACCATGCAGGGAATAATGGATCAGCCCAGACAGGCATTTGTGGTCTACGCATACAGAAATACTTCACTTGGGGCTGTCCTTTCATGCAGCGTCTAATAAGACTGCTGCCTGAAGTGACGCAGCCATAAGCTAAAGAGTGCATTGCCACATCTAGCATCCAGGTGCTGCAGCTACTTCATGTTTTCCAGTGAGCTCCTTTTACAGCTCTCTGAGAACTACCAACGCTCCCATAGCGGAGCGACAGAAAATATACCCTAAACGTTCGGCAAATCAGACCACGCAGTACTGCAATGACAGAGAACGGTTTACTTCCAGACTTACCAGGCCCAACTGGCATCATTCCTGGTGGGGGCGGGCCCATCATTGGCATCATCGGAGGTCCACCCATATGAGGGGCTGGCATCATACCAGGTCGTGGGGGGCCAGCTGAACACATATACAAATTATTGACGCATCTAATTGCTTCCACACTCATCAACAACGTGCAATGTGAAACAGTTGTTATTAAGCCTTGCAGGAAATCTCAGTAAACTTAGGAAATTTTCTTTATTACTAAGATAAAAAATGTCTTAGATTGTTTTACAACTGCCTGTCTTCATTTTTCAGTTTCAACTCTGACTTCAGGTGCTAACAAATGAGTGAACTGGAAGAAGCATGGGCTAGGCACTACTTCCCACTTTTCATTTCTAACAGAGATGACCACCACTTCTAACAGCAGAGCTCTATACGCAGAAAGGGATCTCAACAACTTGCCAGCTGAAGTGCAAAACAAGGTTATCACTCCTATTCTACTCTACTAAAAAGCTGTTCTAGAAGTTGTAATGACAATGTCTACCTGGTAGCTACCAAGCAAGTGAAGGAGCATACATTTCTATTGATGTGCTCAGCATTGCTAAAATAAGACACACTAAAGATCACAACAGTTACGGAAACACTCTTACAGAGCGTTCTCTTATATTTTGATATTCGTGAGTTCAAAGCTTCTGAGCTTGATTGCAGGCTAAAAGCACTTTTCTTTACAAGCCCAGGAAACACATAGTTAAAGAGAGGTGCCCCCACGGTTACAAAGTAAGAGACTTACGGATGCTGGGAGGAGGTGGTATCATGGCTCCCCCAGGAGGCGGTGCCGAGAACGGTGTAGGTGGGATTTTCCCTTGCTGAAATGCAGCCGCTACATTGGCAAAATAAACAAATAAATAAAAATAGGAGAAAAAACAGTTACTAGGTTAAGGAAACACCTGTGTTAATCTTCCTTCCCATGCCAAGCATTCAGAGCATACTTAATGTCATGCTGCAAACTCAGTCGTTCTAACTCTGGAACAAGTTCCAGGTTTATACCACTTCTCAAGGTAGGAGCACCTCGTATTCTGGGAAGTGCTCTGTGACAAATTTCACACACCCAACAGGAAGGTGGATAGCAGAGAAAATACAATCATGTGATTTGCAGCTGTAACTTTTACCTAGGATTTTTACATTAAGCCATGCTAACTGAAAAAGTTAGGAAGCCAATGACCTAAGTAGGTGACTAAAAGCATGAAAAACATCTTATGTGACAAGGAGGAGAAGAAATTCCAAAGACTGGAATCGACCAGAAAGAAGACAAAAGATACAAAAGTTGGAAACGCCTAAAGAAGGAAAGCTGCCAGAAAGTTAACACAGCATTTGTGTTTATCTTATTTATAGAGAAAAGGTCAGTTTTCCACAGAAAAAGTGAGGGGGGAAAGAACCCTACAAACAGAGGGGGAAACGCTTCACATTTTTTTCAGTCTATTAATACCAAGAGCGGAGGGGGGGGAAAAAAAAAAAAAAATCACTAGAGAGTTGAGGCCGAGGGACTGAAAAAAAAAACTATCAATCTGCACATTTTAACGTCCATTTTCCTACCTTTTGGATTTTTTATTCGTGCAATTTGCATAAGTTTGCTACTACTGACAAAACCAAAAACAGAGTAAGTTTAAGAACTAGAGAGATACCTCATTTCTCTCTCGAGCAATGGCACTAAAAACATCTGTCCTCAACTCTTCCGTGGAAGAACGGAAAAAAGGTTGTTTTGTAAGTGTCTTCTCATAAAAGCTTCAGACACAACTTTTTACATTCAAAGAAGATTATTTTGAAAGCTAACAGCTTGTATAAAACTCAACAGCCCAAGAGGACCCTCGAGCTTTGTGTAACGTAACCTTGGGCGACACTACCCAGCTGTACCAAAGAGGGTGGTATCTACAACGGTCTTAACCCACAATAAAGCAATGTCTGCTTGCAACGGCCCCTTACACGCAGCTCTTAGTCTCTTCAGGGGAAACTCACACCTCAAGTAGCTCAAGACTTAGCATCTAAGTGATATCCCCACTCACAATTCACACAGCAAAGAATCACCATGAAGGTGAGGCAAAAATCAGCAAGGAGGGGAAGAAGACAAGCACACAGAGACAGAGGTAATGGCAAAGTAATCCAAGGACAGAAGAGGATTAGTCTTACTTGTTTTGTCAATCAGGCTCTGAGCTTGTTCCTCCATCCATTTTTGATAGTAGTCTTTCACATTCTCTTTGTGTTTTCTGCCACTGCAGTGGGTTTTTCTCACAGAGGGCTGAGAAAAATCACATAAATCCAAAAGTTACTAGAAACTTTTGTAACACTTAAATGCATGCAACTTACATGCAAAAAATAAGCTGACTTCTGTGTACAGTCAGAGGACTGAGGCTGTGTAATACCTTTACATAAAAACCACAAGTGCTGAGACCCAAATTTAAGTAAAAGAGGCACTCATATGACAAAAGTAGCTGTCCCCTATAAACTCAATGCAACATTCACACTCACTCAGAAATCCAAAGCCAGCAGATGCTAGCGCCAGTCAAGTTACTCCCCGGTTCTTGGTTGTTTTGGTCATAAAGTCTCAAACTAACAGGACGTCCAGTGACTTTTTAGCCTATACACGTTCTTTTTTTTAAGCCACTTGACACAGAAAAAGAACTAACGCAGAGGATCTGGTACTTACCGAGTCGTGGGTGAGGTAGGTGTCACAGTAATCGCAATAAAACCTGAAGAGGGAAACCCCTGTTATTGCCTACACCAGCTCCGGGGCCCGCAGGCCCTGAGGAAGCGCCCCGACCCTGGCGGGAGGGCGGCGCCCCAGCCCCAGGGGACCCTCGGGGCGCCCCCATTTCCACCCCCTCCCCGGGACCAACAGCCCCCCTCCGCCGGCACCGGG